GATATATATATATATATATATATATATATATATATAGAAACAGGTTAAAACAATGCGGGTGATGTCAAATTTGAGTTAGCTAAATAATTATATGGTACCAAGCAATGAAGAAAATCTTGCTTTTCTGGCAATTTTCAGTAGTGATGAAGTCGAAATCAAAGACAGCATAGCGGCACTCATCGGCAGGCAGAGAGTTAGTGAAATCGTCATAGTTTTCTTCAGGATTTCCAAGCTTCTCCACAACCACTTGTTGGCCTTCAATCTTGAATACTATGAACCTGTAGTTTCTCTTTGCTTTTAATTCCAAGAACTTCAGCTTACACTCGTCTAGCACAGCCATTCCAGACGCAGCATTTGCCTGCCCAACAAAAATTTAATGACATAAAGAAAAACGAAAAGAGAAAAACAAGGGTAGTCTGGTGCACAAAGTATTTCGTAGTCTGGTGCACCCATATTCCCTCGTGCAGTAAATTTTAGCTAAACTAAATAAATGCATATACCATGAGTTCATAAATTAGAAAACAAAAAAAAGCAATAAGCGTAGCATAGCAAATCCATTAAATCCAAACAAGGGCAACCAATAGTTCCCTTTTTCAAGACCAGAAATATGGCAAATGGATAATAAAAGGACTAGTCTTTTTCCTCTGTTTTAATCACAGCATTCTCTTTTAGATTATCTCCTTTCATATTTCGAGCTCCAAAATGCAGCTTTTAGAAATATCACACTAGGCATTATAATACTAGAAGCTTTTTACGCAGAAGATGATCAAAGCACTAGTTGGGAACATTTTAAATGCAACATCATCAACATCGCGAAAGCAAAAGAAAACAAATATATGCTGTATAATGTATCCAAATTAAAAGGGTCTTGGAAAGGTAAAAGCCGAGAGAGGAAGAAGAATACCATGATGTCGTGCAATGAGGAAGTAAATTAAGGATCTCTACAAATTGGATAGGAAAAAAGGGAAGGAAAAAATGGAGAGGATTGAGTTGTATGTAAATGGATAGAGATCCTTGAATTCGTAAGATTGAAGACAATAGCAGCTTTATAAAACAAGAGAGGATTGCGGAGAATAAGAGAATTTTGTGGGACAAAATAAGGGCTCAGAATTTTTTTAAACCTTTTTAGAGGTTCAACATGTCCACCACCACTCTTCCTTCCTCATGTCTGCCGTTGAAGTTATGCTGCACATGATGCCCCTTCCTGCCCTCCAAAAATTCATTATATACATGATATTATATATTGAGTTTTATGGTTAGCGATATTTACATTGTGATGCAATTTGATTAGATACAAAATTTATAAATAAAGACTTTTTGAACTTGTGGTTTAGAATAAATATTTGCGTAATTATTAATAATCTCATTAAGCGTAAAATATAAATGATAAAATTAAATTCTTTCGAAACATAGAAAAATATTACTCCCTCCGTTTCAGATTATGTGAATCTATTTCCTTTTTGGTCCGTTCCAAAAAGAATGATCCCTTTCTAAATTTGGTAACAATTTAGCTTAAACTTACAATTCTACCCTTAATGAGAAGCTTTTATAACTACACAAATACTCTAGGCTCCTTTTTGACTTGTTTAACACTACAAATTCAAAAAGTCTTCATTTTTTGTTAAACTTCGTGCTCAATCAAACGTGTTCACATAAATTGGAACGGCGGGAGTATTCTTTTTAGGACAGTTTAAAAATAAGCTCATACATAAATTGGGATAAGAAAATTACTTATATAATATTAGTGAATCCAACTTCACCGGCATCACCTAGATCTAGGACAATAATCTTACCAAGAATCCTCCCTCTCTTGGCTCTTCCCCGTCCGCTACAATATTCACAGTCCCACCAACCCCAAAAGATGGAGAATTTTTTTTTAAGAAATAGAAATAAATAAATAAATAATAAGCCGTTCTCGTTAATTGATGAGTATCCCGTTAGTAATAAATGCAACCATTTAATTAAATGTCTCTTGTTCATTTATATAGTTAAGCTAATGTAAAATGTGATGAGGAATATAATCTCAATTTAATTAAATACAAGAATATCAAATCGAGGTAAATGAAATCAAATACTATTAGATTAACTGTGTTAGGACTTCTATGAAATTTTGTAAAGCATATTAGGACTTGTTGGTCCTAACAGGGAATAAAACTCCAGGACAAGGAGAAATAAGACTATGTGTAACATGCCTCCCTTTAGAGTTTAGACCTGACATGTCTTTGTTATTATAAAGAGAAATACAAAATTCAACTGACTTCCGCACTATATCATTTCCATGAAGAAAACCACCAAGGCACTCATGAAATTATATACTTGATATGGTTGACCTTACTAATAAATGTCAAGCACAATTAATAGAGAAGGATATATAGTTTTCATCTTACATTACACATGAAAAGAGATAGGAAGGTATTTGATTGCGAGAAGAAAGAGGTAGGTAGAACCGTAGAACTTCAAAGACTGCTGGAAGACGATGGGCTCCCAGTTATTAACCATGTGCCCGATTATTATAATTTACTCCTATTAGTAGTATTATCTTGGTTACATTAAAGTCAAAATAATCCATTAGGTATTAGTTTCCGAGAGTGGCAAACAAATACTATTAACTTGTCAGGTCCCAACTTATGTTACAACTAGTAAATTTATAGACATAATTGAAATTTAAAATATTTTTCTTAATTAGTTGATATAAAAAAATAAAAATAAAATGTATATGCAGGAGCCACTTTTTCGTCTGAACCATTAGCTTTAACTTTTTTTTTTTTAAGCTAATGACCAGAATACTTTATATCAAAAGCATAAGAAGTTTAGTTATTACATAATACAGGAGTAGATCGCATAACAATTTTTCCGAATATGTCTTTATTAAAAGTATGTAAAATAAAGTCCGGGGGAGTTTTCCAGAATATTGTATTGTCTCCCTCCGTTGTTGATGGTTGCATGGAACATCCATACTTTGCTAGAGCGTCAGCCACAAAGTTGCCTTTCCGATATATATATGAGTTATAGCCTCCAATCCAACAACATCAAAAAGAAAACTGCAAACATTAAAAAGATGTGAGTATCGATGTTGTTCAAACTTAAATACATTACATAATACCTGCGAATCTGTTTCCACTATAATTGAAAGAGATTTTTTTTTTGTAAATGAGAGTTCCAGTCCTGCTAGTAGTACAAGCAGCTCAACATGAAGGGCGGATATTGCAGTGCAAAACACACGACCCATGAACCATTGTGGTCTCTGATGAGCTCCCCTCCCCCCAACCACTAGTTTGGTTATTTGGATCATAAGCACCATTAATGTTTAGCTTGTAAAGACTCGTAGGTGGTGTTAACTACTTTATTGGTACTTATAACCTGGGTTTTGAGGTTGTTGTAATCAGAGTGAGTGATACAAATTCTGCTACTTGTAGAATGATTTTTTTGTGGTATATAGTGGCTGAATTATGGTTGAAGAGGTTTAAGTTCCTGTTAATCCATATGTTCCAGAGGAGTAGGGTGGAGTATGGAGTTTTAAAGGAAGCATTTGGTGTGTGGGTGGTAGTGTCTTTGTTGCACTTATCCTTCAGCGAATTGGCAAGGTTGTGTGCTTGATGTATGCATAAGTTGAACAAAGGCCATAAATGGGCAGGAGTGTTTGCATTCAAAGAAATGTGGTTTATGTCCTCCACTGTATTTGGGCAAAATTGACAAAAGTTTGATTGAAGTATTTTTTTGGTGTACAGAAAATCTCTAGTAGGGAATTTGTGGTGTACAAGTAGCCACAAGAAAAACTTCAGTTTATTCAAACACTTGAAATGCCAAAGCCAAGAGTTATTTACAGTGTTGGGTTGTTGAAGTTGATTGGTGATCTGAAGTTGGAGCAAATAGGCCGACTTGGTAATAAAATTGCCAATGGATGTTTGGTTCCAGAATGATTGGTCGGTTTTGTTAGTTGAGAATGAAATGTAAATGCGGTTAATTTGTTCTACTTTATCGGGATGTAAGGACAAGGATAATCTTTCCAGCAACCACGAATGGTTAGATAGAATTGATTATACTGTCAATTGTTCCTCCATATGGTGTAGGGGGCCCTGGATCGTGTTGCGCAAACAATTATGATTTGGAAGTCAGTTGTCATTCTAGAGGTTGATGTTTGTTCCATCCCCTATGTTCCAAGAGAATCCTGCTTGGAAGTGGCCATTGGCTTTGGTCATACTTTTCCATATGTATGAATCAGGTGGCTTGACCTAGTATGTCCCTACTCGTCTATGCTGAACATATTTTGCTTGAAGAATTTTTACCCACAAGGAGTTTTCACTCCTATGGAAGTACCATAGTAACCCTGCTAGCATTACATGATTTTTATCAATTGTTTTATATAGTCCCATCCCCCAAGTGATTTTGGTGTGGCTACAGTCTCCCTTTTAGCAAGGTGTACTTTTCTTTTTTCTGGAGTTGCTCCCAAAAGAAAATTTCGTTGGATATGCTCTATGTGATTCCTAGTGGATATTGGTAGTAGATTGTTTTGTATGGAGGAATTAGGGATGGTGGCCAAGACTGAGTGTATGAGGGTGGTTCTTCATGCCATATTGAGAGATTTTGCTTTCCACCTTGAAAGTTTGTTGTTCATTTTATCGATGATGAATTGATAATTCTTGCCTTTGAGGAAGTGGTTTATTAGGTGAAAGCCAAGGTATTTACTAAAATTAGTGGACCGACAAATGTTTAGAGTACTAGTTAAACAATCTTGTGTGGGGATGAGAACATTTTTGGTGAAGAATACTTTGGATTTGGAGAAGTTCGTTTTTTGTCCTGACTAGAGTGTAGTGAATTGAATATATTTATAATAGTGTTGGCAGTATGTAGGTCATCACGTGAGAATAACATAAGATCATTCGCAAAAGAAGGTGTGAGATGGGTGGTCTAAATTTGCTAATCTTGACTGGCATCCAGTCACCATTGTTTGTTGCTTGGTCAATTTGTTGAGATAATGACTGCATACAAATGATAAAGATGCAGGGAGAGAGGGGATCTCCTTGGCGTATTCCTCTCGATGGTTCAAAGAATTTTGTGGGTTTGCCATTTATCATGATAGAAATGGAGGAGGAGGACATACAATTTATGATTAGGTTAATAAGGTTGGTGGGAAAGCCTAAGTTGTAAAGTGATTTGCGGATGAAGGATCATTCAAGTCTGTCAAATACCTTTTCTAGGTCTAGTTTAAGTATCATGTTGCCCATGCGTCCTGATATGCATTTCAAAGAATGGATTGCTTCTTGCACTATGATTGCGTTATCAGCAGCCCTTTTGCCCGAAAGGAAACTGCACTAATTAGGATTAATTAGGCATTTGAGGAATGGAAGAATCCTAATAATAATAATCTTAGTGATGGTTTTATAAACAGTGTTACAGAGGCTGATTGATCTATATTGACATATGTGCTCAGGTTCTTAACTGGAATGAGAGCGTTAAATGTGGTATTTATCTCACTTGGGATAGTTGAAGATTCAAAAGTATCTTTGCAGATTTAAACGCACCTAGTGGAATTCTAGTATTTTTTAAAGAAAATTGCATGTAGCCCATCTGGCCGAGGGGCTTTAAGAGGTTTGAAGGACTTAATTGCTCGATTTATTTTTATTTAAAAACTATGCCTGGATAGTTGGGCCCTGTCCTCTTCTGATACAGCGTACTCATAGAGTTCGTGGTTTGTATTGTTACTATTTGTAAGCTCAGTTGAGTAAATAACATTGTAGTGATTTAGGATAATTGAATTGATTTCTTTGTGATCATAGGTCCAGTTACCTATAAAATCATTTAAGCCTAGTATCCTATTATGTCTTCTCTGTTGGATAGTAAAAGTGTGGAAGAATTTAGTGTTAGTGATACCCTCATTTAGCCATTGCACTCAGATTTTAGCTTCCAAAAATCTTATTCATTCTTCATGACTAAATAATATTGGGCACGTAGGTTATTTTCAAGGTTTTGGTGAAAGTACGATTTGATGGAATTGTCCATTTCTTGAAGACCTGCAAGTCTTTCTAGT